AGATAATATGTCCTTTTTAAAATTTCTATATCTATATTACTCATCTCTTTATCTGCTAAACAAATAAGGAGGAATAGTAAGTTCTTCAAATGCAATTTGATGACTTTAATACATAGCTTTGTTATCTGGTATATAAAACTTAGAGCTATTATAATTTCATTGGGTAAAGGAGAGTTTGTCAATATGAAAATATCGTTTGTCTTCTTGAATGTATTGCCTTGAATTTTACTTCATTTGAAATTTAATATTGCTACTCAGAATTTGCATTTGATTGTCTTTATATTTTAGGTTGACAATTCTCAGCTATGGTCTAGGGACTCCTCGGAGTCCCTAAGATCCTTTGAGAAAGCTCATGAGGTCAATATTTTCGGAATAATTCTAAGATGCTATTTGCCTTCTTCGCTCTAATTCTCTCAGGAGTGCACAGTGGAAATTTCCAGTCCACGTGATGCATGGCTCTGATGCACACATAAATCACACTCTGATAGTTAATAGTCTGTGTGCTTGTGTATTTTTGTGTTTTAAAAATTTCTCAGCTTTCATAAAACTTTTGGAAGAAAACATGGGAGAAAGTCCTTGTGACCTTGGGTTAGGCAAAAATTTCTTAGATAGGATACAAAAGCATCAGCCGTAAAATAAAAAATTGATAAATTGGACTCCATCAAAATTTCAAGATTCAGCTCTTTGAAAGACACTGTTAAAAAAAAAAAAGTAAAAAGAAAAGACAAGCCGTAGAGTAGAAGAAAATATTTGCAAAACATATATCTGATAAAGGACTATATCCAGAAGATATAAAGAACTCTTAAGATTCAGTAGTAAGAAAACAATCAACCGAGTGGGCAAAAGATTTGAACAGACACATTACCAAAGAAGAGATACAGATAGCAAATTAGCACTAAAAATATGCTCAACATCATTAGTCGTTAGGGAAATGCAAATTAAAACCACAACAGAATACTACTACACATCTATTAGAATAGCTAAAATAAATGTTTTAAAAACTGACAATATCAGGTCCTGGCGAGAAAGCTGAGTAAGTGGAACTCTCATATATTGTTAGTGGAAATGCGAAATTGTTGAACCATTTTGGAATTGTTTTTTATGCAGTTATTGTTTTTTAAAAAGTTCCTTATAAAGTTAACCATGCACTTATAATATGATAAGCAGCAATCCCTGGGTTTTTACCCAGAAAAATGGAGACATACATCCACGCAAAACCCTGTACACAAATGTTAATTGCATCTTTATTTGTAATAACCAAAAACTGGAAAGCCCCAAATATTTGACTGGTGGATGGATAAAGAAATCATGCGGCAGCCAAATAACAGAATAGGACTCACCAATAAAAGGAACTACACTAGTGATACATGTAGCAACCTTGATGAATCTCAAAAGCATTATGCTAAATGAAGGAGCCTGGACTCCACAGGCTGTATAATGTATGACTCCATTTAGCTGCTATTTGCAAAAAGTAAATATAGAACCAGAAAGCAGATCGTTAGGGCTGGGAGTAGAGAGACACATTTGACCTCAAAAAGGCATGGAAATACCCTGTATGCCTTCATTGTGGTGGTTGTTCCCAAACTGTATGAATTCACCAAAATTCATAGAATAGCACAGCCAAAAGATGAGTGTTACTATAGAGAGATCAATCAAGCTGACTGAAAAAGAAATTCAGTTTTAATTTGTAATGCAATCTGTATCAATAGATATATTCCACATAAATAAAAGTTCTTTGGATCTTCAGTAAGTTTTAAGAGAGTAAAGAGATTCTGAGATCAAAAAGTTTGAGTCATTATTATAGGTCATGATGAATAACACAATTTTTATTTCTTTTTTCATTTTTTATTGTGTTTTGCTAAAGCAAAATACTATGGGATTTTTTAAGCTAATCTGAGTGTCTTCAGCATTTATGAAGTAGATTAGAACATGTAATTAAAAATAAATTAAAAATATTTTTTAAATATGACAAATATTAATTAAATTAAATGTTTTAAAGTTAAAAATATTTTTTGGTTTACTGCTATTGGCTTATTTTACCTTTTTAAAAACTCTACCTTTTGCTATGTACAATTTTAATTTTCTCCAGTTATCTGGAAAGTATTCTTTATGCCTATTTGAATTAGTTTAAGTTTTCCAAACACATATGTATAGCTTTTTCTAAATATCAGGATGAAAGATGAAATAATGCTTTTATCTTCCTACACACCTTGTGAGACCAGAAATTAATCAACTCACCCATCTTATCTTACTCTAATCTGTGGTTTTGAGATGGGGGCTATTATCATAATTTAAATTATTTTATATTATACATGTTCTCTGTCAAGAATCATGCAATTTTAAAATATATTAAGAGTAATCATAAGTATATAAATAAATATTTATTAAGCCTATTTCTTTCTTATATTTATTCAGTTTATTCTCTCCATTATCAAATGTTGAAGGATTTCTTTTCCTGATTGCTGTGCCAAGTATCCTCCACCTATCCATCACATCTTTTCTCCATCCTGTTCTCTGTCCTGAGGAGTTGGCCAGAGTAACATATCATTGGGATCCTTGCCCTGTGGTTTTTCTGCTAGATTTGGCCTATGGGGCTGAGAGCTTGGAAGAGAAAGGAGAGTGAGATAGTGTATTTTTTCCCTTTGTGAGGTTGCCTCAAGCTGGTATGTTCTTGACAGAAAGTCATTGATCATCCCAAGGTGGCCTGCTCTACATAAACTTACATTTTGGATTCAATAACCTCTCCACCTTCTTTTCTCCTTGGGCCTAGGGGTAGTGACAGCCTGCTGCTGCCAGCTCTGGGTTCTTACCTTATCGCTTTGGGTTCCCCTACATATCACCCACCCCTTTGTAATTAGTCTGTCTGTAAATAAAGTCTCCTCAGATTAGCCTAATTTGGGTCCCCATCTCTTTTGAGCAGGGGCACTGATGTCACTGATTATTCATAAGTTTGGTCAAGATATAGTTAGGCATAGAGTCTTTTTTCATATTTTTGTTCAGAACATGATGAACTTTTCCAATCCACATTCACTGTTTTTTCAGTTCACACACTATTGTTCAATTTGCCTTTGTTTATTGCATTGTCCCCGTTGTTTAGCATTTTCCTTAAACTCACATGTAATTTTCACGTTGGCACCTTGCACTCCATCTTCACTAACTCTGTCTGCTCTCTTGTTCCTATCATTTCTTTGCCCTTTGCCTCTGCATGCTGGGAGCACTTACCACGTTGATCCTTGATGTTATTTGTTTGGTTTTCTGCAACGTTGATTCTTCCCTTTACTGACAGATTTTCATTCTGTTTTTACATTATTAGTTATAGGTTGTTTTTAAAAAATTAATCCCATTCCCAATGTTTACTTTCATAGCACTGCTATTCTGGATGGCTTTTACTTTTGTTTCATGAGAATTTTACCTTCATAGGAACTGGGTACTGGGTGTTCACCCAGTAAAGTAAAAGTATTAAAGCTGAATGCTTTTATTAAATTTTCTTTTGTCCCGTGCAGTAATTCACATTCTGGGCTCTATTCTCTTAAAAATAAAACTTCCACTCCAATAGACTATAATACTTTAAAAAAATTTTTCCCCTAATAAGTCATCCACTATCCAAATTTCCCCAGCCCCATTTACTGTCCATTTTTGGATGAGTAGAATCCTAGGCTCACATATCCGTCTGAAGAACAAGACTATGTATACAACTTCTAGTTCCATTCCTATACCTTCCAGGCCATTATGTAGTATGGATGTGCTGATCTTCCACTCCCTAATTCTGTATCACTTAGAGTAATTGGAATATATGAAACAATCTAATTTGCAGTTTTTCCTCCTATCAGGGCTTTTCTGATATCCCTCCATTTACAGCTTTTTGCCTCCATGACATAATGGGCCACTCCTATTTTCTTTTTATATCTGCCTATTTTGTGCTCTTTTTTCAATTTGCTTTTTAGTTCTAAAATATGAATAGCAAGAGCTACTGATGGTGAGAGGAAGTGGGGAATGATGCCTTAGCAAACCACCTAGAAAATATGTGTGTAGATGATAGACAGCTGCCCATTTTCACGTCTAGAACAGAGCCCAGGGACTCTGAGCCAATGGCATCATGTTCATAAGACTGAAATAATTCCACCTTCCTGAAGACCCCTATATGAGCTCTTTTACAAAAAGTAAACTGTGTAAAAACTACTGGTCAGAGTGGAAATTCTAATGGCTTCATAATTCAAGGAAATTCTTCACAAATTGTGGCAATAGATTGACCTTTACTTCTACTTTTTAGTATTGTTTTGTGTTTTTCCACATTTCTATATCAGGCTGGGAGAAACTGTGTCAGGAAATAATACACAGAAGCCTGGAAAGTACTTTGACACAAATTCATACATTCTCAAAATGTAAGATAAACTTCTGAAAAAGTGAGGCTTAGATTGGAAATTCAGAGAACCCTTTTTCCAAGGTTGCTTTTGATGACATTTGATTACGAGGACCACATTTAAAAATCTATTCATTTCTTTTTAGATAGCTTGACTATTGTTATTACTTTTATTGCTCAGATTCAGGAAAAAATCCAGGTTTCATGGAGTTTGAGGCTTATACGGTAGGGGGACTCCTTTTAAGAAAAAGAATGCAAAACCATGAATGTGAAATTAGGTACAAAATGATTACTTATTTAGAATGAGAACAGACAATACAGCAATTAAACGTTTTAAAAGTCAGAGGCCAGCCCAGTGGTGCAGTGGTTAAGTTCGCACACTCTGCTTCAGGAGCCAGGGGTTCACGAGTTCAGTTCTCGGGTGTGGACCTGCACACCGCTCATCAAGCCATGCTGTGGTGGCATCCCACATACAAAATAGAGGAAGATTGGCACAGGTGTTAGCTCGGGGCCAATATTCCTCACCAAAAAAAGAAAAGTTTTAGAAGTCTGACAAATAACATGAACATCACAAATTTCAGGAAAATAACAATAGTTTTATTAAATGACAAACACAGTTATATAATTTTTTAATGCACATTTTTGGCTGCCATTCTTTTTAATAACTACTTCATAGGACAACAATTTTATATTATCTTTTTTATTGAGAGAATAGAAAAATAATTCAGTATTTCCTCCAGCATGATTGATCAATACTTGTTTTACTTAATGACATTTTAGGATGTTTCTTTCAGCTTTACAACTTACTATTGATAATGTCATGTACATTTTTGTGTTGTTATCAAACTTGGGAAATATTCTATCAAGTTAATTTTTATATGAACTATAAGATACGGAAAACTTTTCCATAGCTCAGTCGTCTGGCTCTATACATTTCAAAGTTTGTTTCTCTTCCACTGCTGATTGTACGTGCCCACCACTGGAGGGCACATTCATATCCTGATACAGCCTTTCTTCTGTGTCATGGTGCTGGGTGGGTCAGCACAAAAGATGGTCACTGTATTTCTGAAGGCATTCCAATACCAGAACAACTAGCAATAACATAAATATTCAATGGAAGCCGAAGTGAATTACGTAAATGAATTCTGCTAAACCAAAACTAAATATATCCACAACTCAACTTCCCATTAGTAGCCAGATTTCAGGTTTAGAACTTCACAGGTTTAGCACTTTGCTTACGTCCATAAGCTATGGAAACTGTCTGAATGAGACTGCATCACAGTTCAGACTTTTCTGTAATCAATTTCTCTATTTTTCTCTCTTTCTTTTAGAGTTCCATGTGTATATTTTCTTTTCTTTGTAACTCCACGTCTTCTCTAAGCATCTGTTCTTTGCTGATACGTTTGCTAAAAGTAGTGAATAGCGGGAATGGATCAACTGAGTTCTGTGACAGGCTTTTCCAACATTCTTTGTAAAACGCTAGTGACTTGTCTTATTATTTCACATGAATAGCATGCAATAGAGTGACTGTCTATCGCATACCTTACTTTTCTGTGTGGTTTCTATATAGTGGCTCCATTTTCCTTGTTAGATCAGTGTTTGGCAGGTGTTGACAATAGAAGGACATTTTAAACTTCTTTTGGAAGGAAAAAACAACTCTATTTGAAGTTCATTGCATAATTCTGTGACCCACTTTCTGCTGACACCACTGAGCATCATCCTAGAGGTAGCAGTTGACCTGTATTTCTGCTAAATTACTTTGTGCTAAACACATGTACTGTATATGAACATAAAAAATAATATGCACAAAACTAAAAGAAAATACAGAATATTTTATGAGGTTCAGCATGAGTGAGATAATACCTGTAAGGAGCAGCATACTGGTGAGCAAGGATGGAAGCACAGAGGACCACTTTATACCATGGGATTGCTGGAGACAACATGGAAGTGACTCCCACTTACTCAATGTATATTTCAGAGTAGGAAAATTCTCCCATTGGCTCAACAATGGACATGGAAGGTTGAGTTTAAAAAAGATGTAATTATGCCACGGTCTTTAAGGAAAGTCCAATCTACATTGAACAGTCTGGATTTAGGCTTCTCCAGATCACAAACCTTCTATTCTTCTGTCATTTCTGATCTAGGATTTGACCACACACCTTAAACTTGAATTGATACCACTCAATTTCAGTATTTTCTATTCTCCAGGATAAAATCTTGGAAAAAAAAGCATAGACTTTGTTGTCAAGCAGATCTAGGTTCAGATTCCAACTCTTACACTTACTAGCTGCGGCCTTGGGAAAATTACTGTACCTGAACTTTAAATTTTTCATCTGTAAATTAGAAATAATAATATCTCTTTATTAGAAATCTATAAAGATGAAATATAGTATTGTATCTGAGATCCTGGAACAGTACCAGGTACATAATTCTCTTTCCTTCCACAATTCTGTCATCTGATCCTGGTTAAATCCATAGGTCCACATTATATACATGAGCTTATTGGTAAATTTTTTAAAATTATGGTGCATTATAGCACAGAATTAAAAAAATAAATCTATAAATCGCCCTCCCAACTCTAAGATTGTTTCAATCTTGCCTTTCCAAGAAAAGAAAAAAGTGATCTAGGCATCGGGAACCATCAAAATGAGGATAAGGTGCGGATAAGCAAATAAGATGACTTACAGTATATGAAGGTCATTGGGGCCAGCAAAGCTTCCAATCCCATGAAATTTCTTTCGAGGATCTGACTGATCATATACTATGTGCTCCTTTCTGGAACATTCCCACTCCTCATCTTTGCCATTCCAGATCAAACTATGTTTTGGAGTTCTAAGTGAATTACATTCCTCCCATGGAACCTCAATGGCTGCTATGAAAAGGAATAAGCAGAATGGATTCTAAATCCTCTACCTCATTTAAATCAAAGCAAATATGCTTTTTCTTATTTTCTATTGGGTTTCCATGTAAGATCCCGAAGATGTTTCTCTGACTTAAAAAAAATCTTGAAAATCTACTATTAATTTTGGTCAGATTCTTTCCATGTATTTGCTTAACTTTTCTCAGCTACAGGGTTGCCTTCTAAGTAAAAAGCAAATTCTTAGTAGGCAGGGACCATTCATAACTTACATCGTTAAGCAATGTGCAGAGTACACAGAATCATATTTTACACATTTTGAGCACTCAGTAAACTTTAATCAAGATATATTTAAGAATTTGTCTTTGTTGTGGGTTGAATTGTCTCCCTAAATAATTCATATGTTGAAGTCCTAATCCTCAGAAACTCAGAATGTAACCTTATTTGGAAAAGGGTTATTATAGAGGTAATTAGTTAAGATGAGGACACACTGGAGTAGGGTGAGCCACTAACTCCACATAACTGTTGTCTTCATAAAAAGGGGAAATTTAGACACAGACATGCATGCAGGGAGAATGCCATGTGAAAATGAAGGCAGAGATCAGCGGTGATGCAGCAGGAACCCAGAAACACCAAAAATTCCCAGCAAACCACCAGCAGCTAGGAGAGAGTCATGGCACAGATTCTCCCTCACATCCCCCAGATGGAACAAACCCTGCCAACACTTTGATCTCAGAGTTCCAGCCTCCAGAATTGTGAAACAATAAATTTCTGTTGTTTCAGTCATCCAGTTGTGTTACTTTATTATGGTCCCTAATGACAGAAATAGATGAAGGACAAAACAAATGTGATTTTCCATCTTCTTGTGAAAATCTGGATTTGACTATGAGGAAACTGCAGAAACTTGCAGCTTCCGCTCAGCAGACCCCAGGTCCTGCGGTGAGGGACTGTGCTCTGTAGCAGGCCAGCATGTTACACAGCCAGAGCTAAGTCAGTGTTTATCGTGATTTTAGAAAAGCGAAAGTAATGAGAGGGCTGCGAGGACTCAGGTAGCGTAGTTCAAGCAGCAGGGAGCAGAGATCTGGTCTCTGTTGAGATCACCATAGAAACCATGGCCATGGCCAATGCAGAGGAGTTAGGACTCTCTTGGGTCTCCTCCAAGGCACCAACCCAGCAGGATTAGATCCACATCGGCTGCAGGATACACTGAGCAAGGTTTGGTGGTGGTGAACCTGGACTGGGCTCTCTACACAATCCATACCAATATAATCATGCCTCTGAAATTGCTATCTTCCCTAGTTTTCTCTTTAGAACATTTCCAGAGTCTCATATTATGGATTTAAAAGAGGATGGTGATTGCTCTGAGCCCTGAAAAAAAGCAGTAAGCAACCCCACAGAGGAACTCTATGAAGGCTTATTTGTCATGAAATCATAAGACTGAAATAAAGCCTAACAGAGCCTAAGATCCATTCCTTTATCACTAAGCCTTTTCGTAAAGATAAGAAGTTACTTTACAAAGAAAGCTAAGAAGCAATTTTCTCTCTCTTCTCTGCCGTCTGCTACTTGGAATTGCAAGGGAGGCAGGAAAGACGTGAAGACTGAGGAAATACATTGATAATACTAAAAATCCATGTTCGTACTTACTCTGCATGTTACAAACTGATTTTTGTGCCTATTTTATATCATCCTCTCAGCAACCCTATGAGGCAGATATTATCTTCCTTTTACAAATTAGGAAATATTTATTCATTTCTTTTTCCTAAAAATGAAACTCAGAACTGGCTGAAGTTCATACATCCAATAATTACCTGCTGAAACCTCATATTCAGAGCTTCTAGCTCCAAATCTTACATTACTTCCACCAAGGCATGCCGGGAAAAAGAATCAGCAAAGAGGGAGGAGGAGTAAGAAAGAAAGGGAAGGGAAGATGGATGTATGGCAAGGGGGCTTCCTCACTCCAGGGCAGCAGCATTAAAGACCACAAAGGGAGAGGGGTGTTTTTGCCACCTCATCTTTGTCTGGCCTGGTCTTCTCTGCACATAGACCACCATGCTGCACAGCTGAGTTTCAACTCTTTTTATGAGCTTAGTATCATTATTGTCCAATCTTCTCTCCAGGCTTTATAAGCACAACTCCATTAGCATTTCCTCCTAGGCTTCACTCTCCAGCCTCTTAGCATCTTTGAATCTTTTCTCTGAGTCTTCCACACATTGTCTTTTTCCCCTCCGCTGAAGAAGCCAGAGCTGGATGAAATCTTTCAATTCAGTTTTTACTTTCCATCTACCATTCTCTACTTCACAATGAAGGAGGCTGTGAAAAGATTAGAATATGATTTAATTCAATGTACATCTGTTTTTAAATAAACTACATTTCAAGTAATGGGATGTATGACTTAGCACCAGTGTTTTATTTAGCTGGCCATCATCCTGGCTGTTTTTCCTTTTACTAATACCACCTGATAACTAGACAATGAAAGAGTAGAATAAATCATATTGATTCTAAATAATAGTATACATCCCTATTTCCCAGGTTGTGTCTCACCTGGGGATATCATTTTCCAGTTCAGACAACAATGAATCCCAGCGAAAGTTAAGTCACAACTTTCCATCAAATGATGACAGAAAAAAAGAAAAATGGCTATCAATTTCTGGTGACTATCATCTGTCACCATTCAGAAAGAACAGGTAACGTTAACTGATTATTTACTTGGTATCACTCACGGTGTGCTAAGGTCTTCATGTTCCTCGTGGACCTTCAATCTTCACAACCTTAGAAAGTGGACGTTGTGTCTCCTATTGTAGAGAAGAAGAACATCAATCTAGGTCCATTTAACTCCAAAGCTTTTGGCTGCTGTATTACACCACCAGAATACAAGCAGCATTCTGTACTGCTTAATCAACAAAGAGAGCAAGACGTTATTGTAAGGAAAGTATATTTCAGAGGTTTCTAGAATAAATAGTGCTAATTTTAAAAGGACAGTAGAAAAGAATGAGAATGGAAACATTTCCTTAGAGTATTGATGGCAAAACTGAAATGGATATTTGGGAGTTTGGTAATCTTACCAGATTAGTACCTTCATCATTCTATTTTTGCTGTCCCTCTCCGAATCAGGACAGCAGGGGCCGTATCTATGTCTCAGTTAACCAGAGCATAGTACAGTCAGGCTGGCTGTGTTAATTGACTCCGATTGCTACATGGTGGGTTAGTTCACTCACTAAACAATCCAATTAATAGATGAGAGTAAGTAGCAGCCTGAATGTGCCATGGCTAATTTCATCCCTGTCCGTTGATTTTTTTAGTCATTGATCTGATACACCATGCAGCTAACCTACTTAGTTGTTAAGATGCCTGGAATTCTGTGTGTGCTGTTCCAGCTATTTCAATAACACAGCTATGGCCTTCAAATACCTCTTCCTCAGAGAGAACCAGCCCTAGGATGAGAGAAAATACAACAGTCCTAACCGATTTGTGTGTGCGTGGGTGTGAGGAAGATTGACCGTGAGAAAACATCTGTGCCAATATTCCTCTCTTTTATGTGGGATGCTGCCACAGTGTGGCTTGACAAGCAGTGCTAGATCCATGCCCGGGACCCAAACCTATGAACCCCAGGTTACCAGAGTGGAGTGTGTGAACTTAACCACTATGCCCCTGGGCTGGCCCCCCATCTGATGTTTTTTAATAGATATATTTTCTAATAATGGAATTGCTAACTGAAATCAATATATTCTATATCTTTCATCTCTAAATATGAATAATATGTAACAATAAAATAAATTGCCTTTAAAAGTGATCACTTTGTAAAACTAGAGTCCTTCGAATTGTCATGTTAGCAACTAACAAGTAGTATTTGCTATTAACTAATAGTTTATTGGATTTTATCTGTTATTTTCAGATAAAATATTCTAGTTTTACTGTTTTATTTTTCATTAAGACGTTAACAAGTCTCTATTGCCATAATTCTATTAGAGCTTCAGAGCAAATCAAACAGTTAAAAAAAGAATGACTATTTCTCTGACAAATAAAACTACGTGGTTTTAGTGGAAAGATCACTAGTCTACATTCAGGACACCTAGATTATAGTTCCAGCTACCTCATAGATTCACTAAACTCAGAGAATCCAGAGGCAGAGGGAAAGGTATTTTACAGACCGTTTAGTCCAAATCCTCAAAGAAGAGGATCTGAAGGTCAGAGAAGTTCCTTGCCATATCTCCTGATTCCGGCCCCTGCGTCCCTCCTCCTTAGAGGCTAAGAGTTTATGAAGAAAAACCTTAGAAATGGAAATCAATTGGATTATGGAAATATCTCATGTCTTGATTACTATGAATGAATCTTCAAGGTACACTATGATTTTTAATGTTATATAGTTAGTGCTGGCCTTTAAATTTTGAAATATAAATACAAACCCATTTTGTAAAGATTTCTGGAGTGAGACCAATTTTAACAAATCATAAAATTTTGACCCATACACTCTCATTACATATGCCACTGGGTTTTTTTTGGTCCTAATATTACTTTTTACTAATAATAACTAATCAAGATGGGTTGAGTGAGTGGAGTGGAGGTGGGTGGAGAGTATAATATATATCCTTCTGATAATTATTTATTCATTCATTCCCCTAATTATTCAACACATATTGACTGCTGTAGACTCTGGGATACAGAAATGAGCAAGACATGGCTGCCTCCAGATCCCACCATCCAGGGACAGACAGGCATCCTAGCCCAGGATTACAGTGCAGAGCTGTGAGCAAGGTAAGAACAAGGTATGGCAAGCATGGGATGAGGCTGATGCAGGTAGCTTAGGAAAAGATGGGCTCCTAAGAGGAGAAAACGTTTGGACTAATGGCTTAAAGAATTAATAATAACAATAACAATAATAATAGATAATATTTTATTGATGCTTACAACATGCAGGTGCAACCCTTTAAGGTAGGTCCTATTATTATCCTCATTTTATACATGAAGCAACCAAGATTCAAGGTCCTAGGGTCACGAGGTGGCAGAACTTGAATCTGAACTCAAACAGACTCAGGGCTGTGACACAAAAAAGGGAGTGAGGGTGAATGAAAAGATAAGATGAGATGAGGTCACAGATGTCAGCAACAGCAAATCATAAAAGCTTTGTGTGACATATGAACAACTTGAATTTATTCTAAAGGCTATAATTATGCAAGGCTCTTCAGTATATTAAAAGTATAACTCAAATACGTAAACTCCCACTTCCATCCCTTTGCTCACATTGCTATCAGAAATGTCCTTCCTGTGTCCCTGTTCTTCCTTAAGTCTTTCCCATTTTGAAAGTTCCTCTCCTCTGCGACATTTCCAATCCGTAAATCCACTGTCTAACTCTTCCAGTACAAATAGCCTTTATCACATAATGCAATAACTTGTCTGATATTGTGTGCTAATTTTTCGTGTCCATTTATCCCACCTCCTCATATAAGTTACATAGACACTCTTAAAGGCTAGAAACCACGTCAAAGTCCCCTTCTGTATTCCCATAGCATCTAGTTCAGCTACTGAGCATCTAGAAGTTACTCACAGAATAAAACTTACTTTTTTATTGACCAATTGACAAAATTTAGGAATAGTAGAATCTGTTGTTATTATTGTTTCTCAAAGCAGAAATTTTCCAACCTCTCTATCTGGTCACACTGGGTGCTCGTTGCATAATCAAGAGATTTAACTCTCAACAATAGACAATTATAACTGACGTGGCAAATGCCCAAACTGCTGCCCAAATTAATGGAGGAAGAAAGATAAAATAATAAGAATAAATCACAACACATATTTTAGCTCTACTGATTTTCTAATACCTACTTCATAACCAGTATTATTTTCAAGATAATCATTATATTTTCAGGTTAAAAGGTCTCGTCGTTGTTTTCCTACACCTTCCAATTCTCTAATCTCCGGCCCTACTATTCAGACAGGATTTAATTTTTAAATTAGCCTTGACACTTGAGAGACTATTTTTAAACATCTCCCAAGTAGGAAATCCCATATCCTTCCATAGCAATTCATCCCACTTAGCCAGTTCCACCCTATGTTTAATTTAAATCCCACGTGTTGCAGTTGGGGCCCATTTCCTCTTATTTTGACCCCTGCTGTGTAAATGGAGAATAGTTGATTATCATCAATTATGACTAAAATATTCTTTAAAAAAAAAGTACTATTAAATAACCCAGATCTCTCATTTAGTTGAATAATCATAGTTATTTTAATCTATACTCACAGATTTTGTTTCCTAATTATTTTTATCTTCACTACTAAACTCTAAGTCCTCTACATTCTTTAGTGAGGAATCTAAGGCTTAAAAATGGGGCCCAGGGACTGTCTGGCTAGTGGTAGGCATAACTGGAAGATGACCTCATGGCTCCTGATTTCTGCATTTCTATTCCTGCCTCTCATTACAGTGCCTCCAACCCTTACAAGGCTACTTTCTTGTTTCATTGCTTGATAATTACCCTTCAAATATCCATCAGACAGACTGAGGAAGGTTACAGAGCAAGGATTCTCTTTTGGTAATTATTGCTCTGCCCCAAGTACTTAATACTCTTAATGGAAATTCTCTTTGGATCTCTTACCATTTGTCCACATTAGTAAGGAACCTACATTAATAATACTGATTCTATCCTCTAAGATCTACACCATTTATCAGCAAATGTAATGAGTACATTGTTTCTTTTTTTTCTGGATTACTGGCCACTTTGCCCCAACCACCCCTCCTCCAAGTTGGCATGTATTTTCATAACCACACTCTATGATTGTTGCCCTGTCCAGTCAGCCTCTATAAATGGTTGTAACCTAATTCTCTAATAGACTGATGAGTGTTTCCTATAGAATATAGTTTCAAGCATGTTGAAGGCAAAATAGACTGCATTGAGTCATCCTAACCCAATTTCTAAGGTCACAATGAATGAGTTTGATAAGATTTTTTTTCCTCGCTCATATTCAGTAATCTGTTCAAGTTAAAAAAAAGAAAGGTTTTAATTCAGGACATCTTTTTTTGGCCTTGAAAATTGTACTATTCTGTTAGGGCTGTCCTAACAAAGTACCATACATTCGGTGACATAAACAAAAGTTTGTTTTCTCATAGTTCTGGAGGGTGGAAGTCCAAGATCAAGCTGTTGGCAGGATTCGTTTCCTTTGAGGTCTTCCTCCCTGGCTTGTAAATGGCCATCTTCTCCTTGTTTCTTCACATGGTCACCTGTCTGTGTCCTAACCTCTTTTTATAAGGACTCCAGTCATATTGGATTAGGGCCCACCCCAATAACCTCATTTAATCTTAATCACCTCTTTAAAAATCCTATCTCCAAATACAGTTACATTCTGAGGTACTTGAAGTTAGGACTTCAACATATGAATTTGGGGGGTGACACAGTTTAGTCCATAACAAAATACTCAAGTCCCTCGTATAAAATGACATAACAATTGCATATAATTTACACAATCCTCCTGTATACTTTAAATCATCTCTAGGTTATTTATAATACCTAACTCAATGTAAATGCCGTGTAAATGGTTGCTATACTGTATTGTTTAGGGAATAAGGACAAGAAAATGTCTGTACATGTTCAGTACAGACACAACCATTGTAGGCATTTCTATCCATGGTTGGTTGAATTCCTTGAGATGGAGAACCCACCATATAGTACTTATGTAAGTATTTGGGTAGTCTTAGCTAGTTTTTAATTTAACTGAGTCTCACAACATGCTTAATGTTTTTTTCTACAAGAAACTACAAATTAAAAATAGTATTATAATGTAAGCACCGGCTAATAAGAAGTAA